CACATACACATGTGTTAAATGTTACGTAATTGTAGAGCCCACGTCACTATACGATAAAAATAAATTTATCTTTTACCCCATATAATGAACGATGAATTGTTCATTGTAAGATACATTCATTCGCATAACTTCAATTATTAAAAATCTCTCTCTCTCGTCTCTTTATTATTCAGTATTCCGATCTTTTTCAGGTATAAAATTTTCTTTATTAGTTACATTTATATCTACCAAAAAAAAATATTTATTTATAATTCGTTATCATCACGATCACTCTAAGATCGCTCAAAACAAAAATATTATATCGGACGGTATGTCGCCAAGAAAAAAATATAGTATGAAAAAAAGAAAAAAAAGATAAAAATAAAAAAAGATATATATTATTAGAGGAGGTAGACAGGTAGATATTGCAGATACGAACCGTGCGATTCAATATCGATTCCAAACACCAAAATTTGGGAATCGCGATTCCAAAGAGATTCTACCGGGATTCCAAGCACCACCATCGACGATTCCGTGCTTCGTAGGGGATGACTATGTTAACGCACCAAATTTAAGTGGATTCGAGACTTGTTTCAAGCTCGTTTTCAATATCTTCGGTTTTTCAAGTGGCAATTTCGGTTAATTAGTTCCGTCTTTTTTTTTTGAAAAATTAATTTGTTCTGTCTTTATGCTTAAGGTGCTGGGATTTTACTTATAAAGCCTTAGTATCCAAAATCTCTTGCAGTCTCTGTAAAGCAACTGAATCTGCCCATCAAGGTACTTTTTCATCGAACGTTTTATTTAGTCAGTCATATGTGATGTTCGTTGAATGTTATAAGTTTTTTGGATTTCTGTCAATAAGTTTCCTGGGTTGTTGTGAATCGAGTTTGCTTTTGCGTGTGAATTTGATAGTAAAGTGAATGTGAAGTGTTTGAGTGTTGTGTGAATGGTAAGTCTCGTTGGCTTTACTGTTGTTTCAAAAATCCAGTCGATGATTGACATGTGATGTTCATGTTATAGGTTTGTGTTTATTAGTAGGCTTATTTTATGTGATGTTCATGTTATAGGTGTGAGAACAGTTAGACTCATATGTTAGTTATGCAAGTGATCACTCATGAGAAAACAAGCTTAGTTTGATTCTAGTATGCTAATCCTAGTTTGACATGATTCTGGTTTCTTAGTTTGATTCCTGAACTATCTTGTTGATAATAATTCGTTGCATTGTCTTGAAATCTTCCCTTTCTAGCTGAACGTGTTTTGCGTATATTCCACAGAGTACCTGTGAAATCTTCCCTTTCTAGCTGAAGGTTGGCATATCATAAAATGTTTGGTTTTTAGTTTTGATTTTTTGGGTCTTATTTTGTTTTGATAGATGAATTTGAGCTCAGAATCGTCAATTGGGGGCGAAAGATGTGTAGATGTGGTTTGTCTGCAAAGATTGTCACATCGTGGACCGATAACAATCCGGGAAGAAAGTTTTTTGGTTGTCGGTTGTTTAAGGTATTGGTAGAGTCGATTATTTTTACAATCCGAGACTGTGATGGCTTCCTGATACATTTGTGTTATTTGTGCCATCAGAAGCGTAGGACTGATCACTGCAACTATTTTGAGTGGTTCGATGAAGGAGTGGTGGATGGATGGCCAAAAGAAGCATTGATTCAAGCTCGAGATGAAATTATTGAGAAAGATAAAGTCATCAATCAACTAACTACCCAATTAATGGAACTTTGTTTGGAATTGGAGAAGCATGAAGTGGAGATCTCATCTGGTAGTGAGGATGAGAACAATTCTGTGGAATCCGACCATAAGGTTGGATGGATGAAAAAGATTCTGGGAAAGATGTCTATCTCCAATGCATAGGAAGGTGTGAAGATTAAGACTTGATGCACATCTATTATGTCTCTAGATGCGCATCTGTTATGTCTCTAGATGCGCATCTGTTATGTCTCTAGATGCGCATCTGTTATGTCTCTCTCTATTGCATAAGCAGGCGTGAAATGCATTGGTTTAGTTTGTCGGCGTCAATATCTGCTTCTTCACATTTTTCTCAGCTTCCAGTTTTTTAGGATATGGTGGATAAATTTGTATTCTTTGTATGTTAGACAAAAATTAAGTTCAATTCAGTACTATTGTGTTTGTGCCATATTTGAGTTTTTCTAATCATAAACGTTTGCTCTAATCCTAGTAATATACTGTTATTTTGTTATTTCAGTGGTGGCTCGCTGTTGAAGAGTATATTCTTCTTTAAAAAATGAAAATATTGGATGAGAATTCTCAGCAAACTGATATTGTTTATGATAGAACACACACACACACACACACATATATATATATATATATATATATATATATATATATATAATTGTATTATTATTATATTACATCTGAAAAACTAAAATACAAAAAATAACTACATCATATATATATATATATATATATATATATATATATATATATACTTAATTGTAAACAAATAGATAATGAAGAATTTGTTAAGCTAATATTAAAGAATTTTATTTTATATATATTTTAATATGTATAGTATTATGTAAAATAAATTATTTAAAATATATACTTTATAATATAAATATTTGATACACATTATTTGATCCATTTTCACCATTCAAACACATATTTTAGACTGCTAGATCCGCTTGATCCGCATTTATTACGCAAGATCAGCTTGATCCACTTTTGTTTTGCTAGATCCGCTTGGTCCGCTACGTGCGGTACGCTTTCTCCATTCAGAACCAAAATAATAAACTATATTCGTAATATTATGAATGGAAATATAAAAGTAGTTTACTCCAACATAAGTGAAAAATATTTTTTTCCGCTATCCACTTAGCCATATAATTATTTTCGGATAGAAGATATATTTTTTTTTGCACAATACATTTTACATGAAAAAATGTTTAAAAAAAAAAAAAGTTGACGAGATAGTTTATAATATTATTTTGAGAATATTAATACAAAAATTATTATTATATACGAAATGTTGTAAAATTCAGAAAAGGAAGAAAACAAGAACGTCAATAATATACACATACACGTGTTAAATGTTACGTAATTGTAGAGCCCACGTCACTATCTCAAAATAACAAAATGTTATGTAATTGTAGAGCCCACGTAATTATAACTTCAATTATAACAAAATAAAAATCTCTGTCTCTCGCCTCTTTATTATTCAGTATTCCGTTCTTTTTCGGGTATAATTTTTTTTATTAGTTATATAGACAAATAAAAGCGTGATCTGAGTAGACAGAGCTAAATAGTGCACGTAGGGTAAACGAGGACTCTGGTCAGCTTTGAGCTGTCGAGTAAGGAGTGACGGGCCTTTGGAAACCCAAGAAAAACGGGGGAGTACTCTATACAGTGCGTTCTATTATTGCCTCTTATTCCCGAGGGAGTGGTCGTAATTAAGCCGCGTGGCAATACCCGCCAAAAAGGACTTTTTTTTATTTTTAGGAGCGGGCCTTTATCCAGGGGAAAATTATTCAGCGTACTTAATTATTCAGCGTACTAAATTTAAAGTTTTTCCATCTTTTTTTTCTGGGAATCGTGTTACGTAAGAATACTAATTAAGTTAAGATAATAATACTAATAATTAAGGGCTGCTTCGCTAGGGCCTATAAATAGAAGCTTCTCTCTATCCGACAAAGTAGAAGTCGGAAAGAAAGGTAAGAGAGATGGATGATATGAAGATCTATAATAGACTGGCGATCCTTCCACAAGAAATCCAAGCCGCGGAAAACGCAAAGCTCCAATTATATACTACAAGAAAACATAGTCTTTTCCTACCAAATTTCCTTCCAAATATTTGGTAGGAATCATTTCCTACCAAATTTCTATGTATTTGTTACGAAATATATATTTCGTAGGAAATTCGAATGAAATTTCCTATGACAAAAGTCGTAAGAAGTTCGTAGGGAATTCCCTACGAAAATCCTACGAAAAAAATGTCGTAGGAAATTTCGTAAGAAAGTGGAATGAAAGCCATAGGAAAAATTGGTAGGAAATTCGAAGGTATATTTCCTTCCAATTTCCTACGACCAGACCTTCGTAGGAAATGCGAAGGAAAGTTATGGGGAAAGAATTGGTAGGAAAATCGTAGGAATTTTTATTACACTACAAGAAATATGGATATTGATAGCATATTAGAATAGCACAATTTTCGTAAGTGCTATTAAAAAGGATATGCTGGATTATGGTGAAGATGGTGTCTTCCCCAACCGAATGGCCGGCCTTCTCAGTGTATTTAGAAGATTTACAGAGAGACAAGAAAGAATTTTCAAGCTTCTCTTTATCTTTAATCCCTCGAAGTGCAAATGTAAAAGCGGATAATTTGGCGCGAAAAATTCGCACCGAACCGCATCACATCACATATGTAAACAACATTCCTCAGGAATGGTTATTTAGAATTTTTAATTAAAAGCCGTTGACAAAAAAAAAAGGATATGCTGGATTAGAGGACTCTATTATAACGTATTAAAAAAAATTTAAATCGAAATTTTACTAAGCGGAAATTTTCGGAACCTAAATTTTGTCATGAACGCCAACACTTAGACAAAAAAAATCATATAATTTTATATTTCTCTATAATTTTTCTTTTCTTTTCTCTTTTCATTTTAATAAAAGTCACACCTTACAATAAATAATAAAAAAAAGAACTCTAATTTGGAGACGAAAATAAAAACAAAAAGGAATGAAGAGTTCTAATCTACTACTGTACTACACAAGGTATAATTAAAGATAAAAATTGTCTAATATGATTGGTAAATTAACTAACTAAATAAAACAAACTTTAGTCTAATTTGATTTGCAAATTTGTTTATAGTATCATTTTATTATTCTTAATCACCCAATACAGAAACAAATATTTGAAATAAACATGGAAAAATTAAAAAGTCATCCCATTTGGTAAAAAAAAGCAGGGTTTGGTAAATCACACGTGTCTCGTCGGAATTTGTGCAACTCTCATGTAGATGGAAGGGTACTTACGGTAATAAAAGCGAAAGCCGAGGGGTGGCCTCGTGAAACGCATTTCCCGTGTTCCAACTCTCTCTCAAGCATCCCTCTTCTCCTCTCCGATCTACTCCTCCACCGTCTCCACCGCTAAGGTTGAACCGTCTCTTCCCCATCTTCCTTCCCCTCAGCCTCCTCCTCCCTCCCAATATCATCTTAAATAGGAGTTACAGAAACCCCTAGCCGCCCTTAAGAAAAATTGGCGCCTTCTCCGGCGTCACTAGGTCGCTTGATCGCTTTGTTTATGGTTGGTGTTTGCTCATTGTCGGCTTGTTTTAGTTAGAACCCAAAAGATTCTCATTTTGCAATTTTCTTTTTAAAAGGTTGGTTTAATCGATATTGACGATTCTGGAAAATTTTGATTTTTTTTAAAATAGGTTTTGTGCCTTTGACGAGGAGGTGGTTATCTTCTTCTCTTGAGGATGGTCGGAAATATGAGAGATTGCCAAATTCCAAAACTTCCACGAACAAGTGAGTGTACTTAGATAGGTTCTGTGTGATTAAAAAAGACAAAAAGTTAGAATTTTTTTTTGTAATCTGAGAAACTGAATAATGAGTTTTGATTAGTGTTTAGTCTCAGTGAAGAGTAATGAAGCTATACTTCGAAACCAAATTAGGAAATGGATTTTTGTGTCTTTGAACTGTGAGTTTGTGGTAGTTCGATTTAATTCATGCCTTTGTGTCTTTGAACTGTGAGTGGCTTTACCAAATTAAAGTTTCATTGTATTAACTTACTGATTCAGTTCTCATTTTAATTTGGGTGATGCATTGTTCTTTTAATTAGATTTGGCCTTCTTCCAGTTAGATTTTCACTACTTATATCTTGTTTCAGGCTTGTTTCACGGTGCTCTAAAGAACTTTCTTTTACTCTGCAGATTGTTAGAATTGACATAAAGCTGGCAAATGAAGATGTAACTATGATTGCATTACATCCGAGGATATCACAGCCCCTTAAGTTTCTACTTACTGAGATGGTAACTAAGACAGTGCTTAAGCAGGTTAGTGATTATTATTTTATTTCAGGGATATTCATGTGGTCTTCAATTTTAACGAGTAAGTTAAATTATGTTATAGTTTCCATTTTGTTTATGGTGTTCTTGTGTTCTTATACTAATTATGCTTTGCTTTTTATTTTCAGCAAGTTCACAAATTCAATCACCGGGTTATCCGATAGTCTAGAATGAGACGACGAAGACGACGAACACGAGCGTAGATACGATGACGACGACGACGACGAGACTCGGAGTAGAGCGATTAGGATTTGAATCTTTACATTAGAATTGTTTGTATAATAAATTTTAATGTGTATGAAGTTAATTTGGTATGAAGCAAGTTTCTTTTAAATTTTAAATTTATTTTTTTCAAAAAACCAAATTTTTTAACAAATATATATAAATAATTTCATTAAAATTGTCTCTCAAATTTCGAAGGATAATCGTACGAATTTGGTAGGAGGCGTATGTAATTGGTGAGAAATATTTCGTAGGAAAGTTGAAGGACTAAATTCCTACAAAAATTTGGTAGGATAATGGTGAAAAAGGCCCTTCCAATTTCCTACAAAATTTTCTACGCGATTTCCTACGAAATTTTTTGTAGGAAATTTCCACGAATTTCCTACCAAATTCTATTTTCTACGGGCGATTCCCTACAAATATTTTTCGTAGGAAATTGGTAGGAAACAATATTATATTGGTATAACAAGTTATGATAACGATTATTCTAAGATCGCTGAAAAAAAAAATATTATATTGGGCGGTATTTCGCCTCTTTAAAAGAAAAAAAATATAGTATGTAAAAAAGAAAAAAAAAAATAAGAAGATATAAATAAAAAGAAGATATATATTATTATTTTTAGTGGTTGTTCAAGACATTGTTATTTAGTCGTTACTATAGTGGGAGGAATGTCGTCCTTATAAGTAATGGTTGTTTATGCACCATAGCAATGAACGGCTAAACCGTATATAATGTGGATGACTCCGTCACCATTATTTATTTACCGTTATGACGTGGATGACTTCGTCACCACAATATTTCCGTTAAATTTATTTATATTTTGGTTATTATATAAGGAGGCTCTGCCAAATGTATATAAAAACCTATTCTCTGAAATTGGTAGATTTAACTGATTGGTTATTAAATTTTACAGATTGATTTTTTATTTAAATTTGTTTCACTAACGGTCATGAAGAAAAAAATATCAAAAAATTATCATTTTTCAAATGGCTATAAAAGTAATTTTCAATCTATAAATACACTCATTTTCACTCATTCATTCACTTAAATATCATATCTCTCCTCATATATTCTTCTAAGAAATTTTTTTAAGTTTTCATTTTAGAAATGATTAGATTGTTTTTAATTTTAGTTTAATCACAATTATTGCTTGTACTTATGGTCTCTTTGTTGGGAAATTTACTCGCGAAAAATTTACCTTAAATATCGCTTTACTTTTCTATGCAATTATGTTCTTTGTAATTGCGTGCATCATTAATATAAATGGTTCCATATCAAATAAAAATAATATTATTTTACTAATAATATTTATTCGATTTTTTTGTTTAGATAAAAAATGACAAACATTGAGAAGCTTAAATCATTACCCACCTTTATATTCAGGAAACATGTCCATAACATTGGAATGCATCGTCAAGAAGACTTGTAAGTTATGATCCTGATCATTCGAAGGGGAGCTTGCGCGGTTGTACTCTTTTTACCTACAACTAGATTTTAACCCGCGGTATACGGCGGGATGATTTAATTTTAAAATTAGTATAAAAATATTTTGTAAATTGTATCTCCTTATAACATATTTATTTATATTATAGTTTACAATTGTTATTAAGGAACAGTATACCACGAGTCCACGGGACAATTATTAATAAACTGAGGATTTAACCCGTATTAAAGCGGTATATAAATATTGATTCAAATTCGTCTGTCATATAAATCTTTTCCGAAATATAACACGTTCCGTAATTTCTTAACACGTCCCGTAATTTGTTTTTCTTTTAAAATTTAATGATTATTTATTATATATAAAAGTTTACAAATCATATCATTCTCTAAGACATTTATATTTTAATAAACTAAAGATTTAATATGTATTAAAGTGGCATGTTAATGATATTTTAAAATTTTATAAATATTGTTATTAAGTAACATTATACTACGGGATAATTTTTGGTTTTATACAATCTTTTCTAAATGAGACTAATTTAATATGTCTAATATTTGTGGTATTAAAAAAAAAGGATTTAGTCCGTATTGAAGCGGCGGATTAATGAAATTTTAATATTTTTATTATTGTTGATTCAAAAACACGTCCCGCCAAACCCGTCCGGCCAAAAAACTCATTTATTTTATTAATGTTCTTATTTATGATATGATTCTGAATCATTGTCTAAATATTTTAATCGATGTAGAACGTTGAACACACATTTTCGTCAATTGGATAATATATGTCCGTTTTTAAAATTTCGAATCACAGTATATGCAGAAAAAAAATTGATTTTTTTTTTACTTGATGTATTATATGATGATTCAAAACAGTTAAAAACAAATCAAACAAAGATGATAGGAGAATCATAATTATAAATCTTAATCAAATCTTCTAAATATCTAAATTGTTAAATATAGAATATCCGGTGTATGAGTTGAGTTAAATATAACCCAACCCAATAATTTTTTTTGTGAAGGATTTTTTGAAACGGGTCGGATATACAAATAACCCGGAAGCATTTTTACCCACCCGTCACCAAAGTCACTGCAAAAATACTAGTATAGATAGTTTTTTTCCACCGGGTTTTCCTAGAAAGATTTTTAACGAGACAACATAAGATATTACGCAAGAGACATAGTGATAATGGTCTCTAAAGGGGAGTATTGTAAAAGTCAGAAAATGAGGAAAATAATAACGTCAACAATATACGCATACACATGTGTTAAATGTTACGTAAATGTGGAGCTCACGTTATTGTGCGAGCATAGTAAATTTATCTTTTTACCTCTACATAAAAACGATGAAACATTTATTGTAAGATGTTCATTCGCATAACTTCAATCATAACGAAGTAAAATCTCTCTCTTGTCTCTTTATTATTCAGTATTCTGATATTTTGTGTGTATAATTTTTTTTTTTATTTATACACGCAAAATATCAGAATACTGAATATTATTTATATAATATTTATACACGCAAAATAAATTCTGATATTCAACTATAATATAAAACATTTATTTATAATAGGTTAATGTTTTTTCAATAATTACGATTTAAATTATATATATAATATTTTTGATCGGTCGAATTTCTAAATAATTCAAAGAGTTTTGGGCCAAAACTGAAACATCACATCTCCAACTAAGAATCAAATTGGTCTTCGAAACTAAAAAATGTGTTCTTTTTTGGTCACATTTCCTGAGTTATTTGGGCCTGACCCAATAAAATTCAATAAACGTTTCCATTTTTCCTTTTTCTTCAGTAATGTCTGATCCTTAAATTTTCTCAGGTTGGTTCAAATGGTTTCGCTCTCCACCTCCACAAGCCACGCGCCACCACTCCCGACGGCGTTTAACCGTCGACCGTCGGAGAGAACTTTCACCGTCCGATGTATCTCCATCTCCCCACGCGAGCCGAAACACACAATTACTTCCGATAAGAGCACCAATACTTCCTCCTTGTCGCTTAGAGAGACGAGGCAAAGCAAATGGCTAATGAATTCGGAGGACGTGATTGAGAGAGATTCGAAGGAGAGTAAAGAGAATACGAACACAAAGATCGCTTCGAGGAAGGCGATATCGATAATACTCCGAAGAGAAGCTACAAAAGAGATAATTGAAAAGAAGAAAGGCTCGAAGAAGCTTCTTCCAAGGACTGTTCTTGAGTCTCTTCACGAAAGAATCACTGCTCTCCGATGGGAATCTGCTCTTCAGGTAGATTTCGTGTGCTCCAAAATTATCTCGAATTTGAATTTGATACACTAATATGATTATGTTTGGTTATAGATTTTGATAAAGATGAAATTTGAAGCTGAGAAATTCAGATTATGCTTATAGTAGCTTGAGATTGTATAACTTTTTCGCTGAATTTCGAAGAACTTAGCTAGATTTTGAGCTTATCTCTTTGATTTTATGAAATTGTGTCTTTAAATTGATGTCAAGGATGACAAATTAATGGTTTTAGGATGATGAAGTGTTGAGTTTCTCTGTGTAATTACAAGATAATGTTGGTGTATTTGTAGGTGTTTGAGCTATTGCGCGAACAGCTATGGTACAAACCAAACGTTGGTATCTATGTGAAGCTGATTGTGATGCTTGGAAAATGCAAACAACCGGAAAAGGCTCATGAACTCTTTCAGGAAATGATTAATGAAGGTTGTGTGGTGAATCATGAAGTGTATACTGCACTTTTATCTGCTTATAGTAGGAGCGGACGCTTTGATGCTGCGTTTACTCTTCTGGAACGAATGAAAAGTAGTCATAACTGTCAGCCGGATGTGCACACGTATTCCATCCTCATTAAGTCGTTTCTTCAGGTTTTTGCGTTTGATAAGGTTCACGATCTGCTTTCTGATATGAGAAGACTGGGTATTAGGCCTAATACAATCACGTATAATACCCTCATCGATGCATATGGGAAGGCAAAAATGTACTTAGCATCCTGTCCTGTCCTTTTGAATTTTATACATTTTGTTATATCAATTTGCACTCACTCCATCCCCTGTAATCTTTCATGGTTGCAAATAGGAGTATTTGAAAACCTTGTTTGTCTTTCGTTCCGTTCTAACCGAGAACTTTACACATGCTGGGATGGAGTGAATACTTGAATTTGATAATTATATGGTTTCAATTATTATGCTTTAGTTCAAAGCATCCATGAACTGAGGTATATCTTTTGTTTTGGAAGGTTTGTGGAGATGGAATCAACACTTATCCAAATGCTTGGAGAGGATGATTGCAAGCCTGATTCTTGGACCATGAACTCAACCCTTAGAGCCTTTGGGGGAAATGGACAAATAGAAATGATGGAGAATTGTTATGAGAAGTTTCAGAGCTCTGGGATTGAACCCAACATCAGAACCTTCAATATCCTCCTTGATTCATATGGGAAATCAGGGAACTACAAGAAGATGAGTGCTGTGATGGAATACATGCAGAAGTATCACTATTCATGGACCATAGTCACCTACAATGTGGTCATTGACGCGTTTGGGAGGGCAGGAGACTTGAAACAAATGGAATACTTATTTAGACTAATGCAATCAGAGAGAATCATACCAAGCTGTGTTACACTATGTTCGCTTGTTCGTGCCTATGGAAGAGCTGGTAAAGCTGATAAAATTGGAGGAGTCTTGCGTTTCATCGAGAATTCAGACATAAGGTTAGACCTCGTGTTTTTTAACTGTCTGGTAGATGCGTACGGGAGGATGGAAAAGTTTGCAGAGATGAAAGGTGTTCTCGAACTAATGGAAAAGAAGGGATTCAAACCTGATAAGATTACATACAGGACAATGGTTAAGGCTTATAGAATTAGTGGCATGACTACCCATGTAAAGGAACTTCATGGTGTTGGTGAGTCCGTTGGTGAAACCCAAGTTGTGTTGAAGAAGCCGGATTTTTAGCGGAGGAATAGAGCTCAATTTTGCTGGTATATATATTTCTAGTATCAATCACCTTGTTCTAATGATAAAAGGTAGTTAGTATGAGAGTAAAGTAAATACATTTTCAATTGGCTTACAAAAATTTGTAACAAACAAAAAAGAACAAAATTTGATAAATGTATATTTATTTACTCTTGTTTGTGATGTGTTATCAGTCTGTATGTGCCGAAGCAGCTAGATATGAGAGTTGAAGGCTGTACGCTTCTTTTAGTTGAGTCAAAACTTCTGCAATAGATGGTCTCCCAGATGCATCTCTCTCCACACATCTTATAGCAATCGAAGCAGCTTTTCTCATGCTCGCTGGATCGAATGTATCTTTCAAGATATCATCCACAATCTCAAATGCTCCTGCTTGTAAGTTTGGCCTAGCCTGCATTTCAGTATTTTGATCCTGTAATTACACTGTGTTCTTAAATATTAGGAGATGAGAAATAAAGACAATCATGTTTCTCTCACCCATAAGACCAAGTTAATAGAATCTGGTGATCCTGAATGACTTATAGGTTCTCTTCCACAGATGAGCTCCAATAGGACCACACCGAAGCTATAGACATCGCTTTTCTCTGTCAGTTGCAGGGTGGAGTAATATCTGGAATGACAAAGTGTGTTTAATGATTAGCTAATGAAGCTGTTAATCCATCACGAATTCACGAATGCGGAGAGAAATTGTAGAAGAGTTTACTCGGGGTCAAGGTAGCCTGCGGTGCCTTTAACAACAGTAGTGATATGAGATGCATCTGCTTTTGTAAATTGTTTTGACAGGCCAAAGTCAGAAACTTTCCCGTTCATATCCTTGTCCAGAAGTATGTTACTGCTCTTTACATCCCGATGTATAATTCGCGGTTCACTTCCATTGTGCAGGTAGTCCAATCCTTCATGAATAAGCCAAAACTGTCACTCTCTGCCAGAATCAACTGTGTTTTAGTCTAATGATGCCAATCACAGATGTTCAAGATATACCTTTTGCAGCATCAACTGCAACTTTTAGTCTTGAAACCCAGTTCAATGAATGCCTTTTGCTTCTTGGACCTGCAGAATCAAGATATCACAAAAAGCTTTGTTAGGAAAATGACTTTGATAAAGGATGATGAGCAACTGCTAGACACTTGGGGATTTGCATACCGTAAAGGTGATCAGCTAATGATCCACCAGACAGATACTCATACACCAGTATTTGCCGTTTTGGTTCGTAGCAAAAGCCCTCAAATGAAACTAGATTTTGGTGGCGGATCTGAGACAAAAGGTGCACCTAGAACGTAGACAGTACAAAGGGATCACTAAAGATGAATGTATACTTGACCATGGATTTGGAATGTATGACATTCAAATATGGACAGTAATTTTGGGAGAACTGTGGACGCTTAACCTCATTGATGAAAGAATCAGCTCCAAGTTGAGTTCTATCAAATCGCACTTTGACCGCAACTTGTTTTCCATCTGGTAGTTTTCCACGATATACAGCTCCAAAACTTCCACGACCAATCACTTCCTTGAAATTTCTAGTAGCTGACTTAATCTCTTTGTGAGAAAAGATTCTTGAAGTGTTCCAGTTCTGCATCTTCAGTTGTGCTCCTGATACAGATTTTGGTATACTATAAGAATCATAAAGCGACAACTTTGTGGGAGAAAAGAGAAAGCATTGTTCCCATACTGGTTATATGTCTCTCTTTGTTTCTCTGTCTCCTCGTGAAGATCGACATGAAAACAAAGACAAGAAAAGTGGCAAACAAGGCTCCACCAGAAACTCCAAGCAAAATCGCTATACGGTTCTGTTTCTTGTGTTTCTTATTGATAGGGATAGTGACTTGTGGTGTGTCAATTGTTGAAGACACATTGTTGCATGATAATGAAGTGAATGAAAGGCATGGATTCCCCGTTATCCTGACAAAAGGTAATTCAGTAACACAAGAACAGAATATTGTAGCAAATGCCGAGACAGAAATCGTATACCTGACTTCCAGACCCGTTCTGTTAAGAGACTGTGGCAAGGGACCTACTAAGTTATTGTTTTCCAGATTCCTGAGAAGAAGTAACAGAAAGATTATTCTTTGTGTGAATATGGTATGTACAAGCTACTTCTTGATCTTAATGTTTTACTTACAGGAGACGAAGTTTCGTCAGCTTTCCTAATGTTTCAGGAACTGATCCTTGTAAGCTGTTGTTTTGCAGGTCCCTTCATGCAATGGCTAATTACTTTCAGTTTTCCGAAGACAACGAACGTATATCCAGAAACTCTCAGTATAAGATTTAACTTACAGAACTTCAAGGTTAACCAGATCTTCGAGTTCGGAGCCGAAAGATTTTAACTGATTAAAGCTCAAATTCCTGGACATACCGTCAGAAGCTTTTTAATACTACTGGAAACATAAATAATACGCTAATGTTCTATGGATGAGTATTACAGTTTCTGGAGATCCTTAAGGCTGCCTACATTCTGTATTGCTCCTGTAAGTGATGTATTATGCAAGTCGCTGCACGAAGAAGTGAAGAACATGGAAGATAACCACACATGTATACATGAGACGCTAGAAAAGTGGTTGAAGAATTGCTGGCTTACAGTGTCTTGAGATCGAGCAAGTCTCCGAATGTTGGACTAATGGACCTCAGGTTGATTTGTGAGAGGAACCTGGATAGCCAGAAGAAGGAAAAATATGAGCTGAGATTAAGAAATGTTGAAAGGAATAGTTATGATAAGGATTTTGTTTTACAATGATGTAACGCGGTTTCCTTCACATTTGATGTGGTTCCAAGGAAGCGGTGTGCATGGGTCGTCTTGCCATCCAAGGTCTTGCCCGGTAAATTGCTCTATAACTTTAAGTGCTGAAACTGCAAAGATAACTTAAAAGTTGAACTTTTGGCCCTGGTGGAGTTTGCTTTATCCAGGCAAAACAAAAAAGAGAGTACCTGTGGTAGAAGAAGCTTCAGCAGGGAATTGGAGGATTTCATATACCTCAAGAGCGTTCACTTGAGGATTGAACTTGATTTTTCCAAGGGTGATGTTTAACTTACTGACTCTTTTTTGCGTAAAGTACAAGGTACCAGCTTCTGAACTAGTCACAGTGTAATCAGATAGTTTGACTTCGTCGTTGATCATCACACTAAACGAAGGGGAGAGTGAGAGTATCCCAGCAAAATAGAGGATAATGTAGTAGTCCCCTAGTGTATGTAGAGAAAGGGTATATGAGAGACTGTCTTTGCGAGCAAGAATTCTTGCAGTCTGAAGTACAGAAGCTGGTGGATTCTCAGTAATGTTGAAGGAAGTCAATTTTGTGAGCCCATTGAAGCTCCAAGAGGCATGAAACGGTGCAAAATTTTGATCCGGATCCCATATTCGATCAAATGGATCTGAAGGGTACCTACCATTCAGCAGAATTCACCAAGAATTAATATTTAACAAAACACACCAAAAATGCAAAATCAGAGACAGTGATCAAGTTCTTACCGGATAGTCCCATTCGTGTATCCGCTATTGATTCGGTAACTTCTCCTAAGAATTATATTTGGTGAACCCTCCAAGCTGTTTCTGTAAGCAGCTACAGGAAGTGGCCGTATTTCTAGAGAAGAGATAACCGGAATACCTCTCCCTTTAATCGCAAGCAAACAAAGCAAAACAGAATCATTGTTGACCGGCCAAACCAACTCTTCAATCCAAGGATCATTGGTTTTAAGATCAATAGTACTAGTGATTCTCCTTCCCAGAGAGACATGAAATGCTGGAGGACTACTTTGGCTATCATAATTTCTATAAACGAATGTAGCCCGAATCAGAACCGAGGACAAGTCCTTCTTTGTTACTGGTACCTTATAACATTGGCGACCTCGAGAATCCGGAAAGAATCTGATAGGAACACTGAAAGTAGAATTCCCCTCGGTGTAAGTTACCGTGGTAGTGTTACCTGTTTCAATATAATCGTTATCTGAAACCCAGGAGACGTTATAAGCCGCGGTGTAACTTGAGCCGCCACAGGACAAGCTCAAGAAACCTGTTCCATTACAAAGATTTAACCAAACAGTTGAAGAAAAAATAATGGAAATGATGTGAGACAAAAGTTGAGAATCTGCATACCATCTGGATTGGAGAAACCAAACACCCAAAATCCACTGAGCAAAAACAAATCGACCCAAAAGAGCATGTTCTAGTTTATTGGTTGGAATCTGAAGAAGAACATATATTAATATGGTTCTATATTGTTTCCTAGTTTGTGTGTGAATTCATTATTTATATATGAGTGTGTCTATGTGTGAAGATGTCAGTGATGATTACTCGTAGGTTCACTTTACTTAGTGGTCAATGCTCTAACAGTCTGTGTCAAGTTAATATTATAATTAACAATTTAACTACAATGAATGTTTATTTAACAAAATAGAAGTGAGATATTTTTAGTGTCAAATATGGTATTTGTGAGTTAAAATGTAAAGAGAGAAAGCAAAATTTGGTTGCTCAATTCTTAAGAATGATAATGAGGATGATGCTTGAGTGAGAATTTTCAAATGCAATGATATTTACGTTTTGCTTGGCTTCAACACTAATCCACAATACATCCTCCTTAAGCTTCCTCATAAAGGGAAAACCTTTTTACAAATCGTTTACATACCAAAGTCTCCCATAATTGAAAAAAAAAAACTAATTAATGCCTCAAAAAAACATAAACCTGTAATTACTTAATTTTAAAGAGAAAACGTCTGCAAAGTCCCTTTTTGTCAAAACAAAACCTCATATCTCCCCGTAAAAAACAGAATTTCTTTTTCAATTTTTTTTTATTATAAAAGTGAAGATATTACATTGTTACCCCAGCCAAAACACAAAAATAACAGAGAAAACCTAGATTTAACCCAGTTTCTTTTCCCCACCCATAACTATTCGGATCTAACCTGAAATTGATTTCTCTTTCTCTACTTTGAAATCGTTCTCTTCGACTTTTCCTCATGAACGTTTATCAGCTTCAATTCTCTTAAATTCAAAAGAGAAGTTACGATTTCTCCATCTTTAATTGGTAAAACTAGGTAGAATTCAAGATTTTGACTGTGAAAAATTGTTGATTTCTCTTGATAATGGTTAAGACAAGGTGGTCAAAAAAGAGGAAGAGAGGAGAAGAGGGTTCGGGAAACCCTAATGTTGAGGAGAAAGATGGATAAAGTTTGCGGAACCCTCCAGATTCGAACAATGTTGACGAGGAGGTAGAAATAGAAAAAGATAGAGATAAATAGTTATCTCCAGTTGCTGAGAATAATGAAGAAGAAGGGAATGAAGACGATGAGGAAGAAGGGAATGAAGTAGAAGAGAAAGAAGATGAAGAGAGTGAAGACGAAGAGAATGAAGATGAAGGAGAGAGTAGCCGAACCTTGCGTGATTCCATTGAAGAGAGATCCGAAGAGATATCAAACGAAAATCGCGTGGAGATGGTAAGTAGTTGGGTTCGAAATGTGAATTTTGGATTTTAAGTAATAATGGTTGAATAATACATTTGTGAATTCTGAGTAATACTGGTAGAATTGAGAAATAATATTTTGACATCTGGGTAACACTAGTAGAACTAGAGAATACTATTGTGATGCCTAGGTAAAACTGATAATACTACGGTATAACAAACATTTAGTAATACTGAGTAATACTATTGTATAATTGTGTTCAATTGCATGAGTCTGCTGACCCACTAGCTGGTCTTTCAGACCCACCAGCTGGTCCTTAGGATCCACTTGCCAAGGATGATAATGGTGGTTTATGTGCGATAGGCAAGGAAGAACCAATTCGGAAAGAAGTCCAACCCAATTAGATTTGGCTTCTTGTGTTTGGTATGGATATTGTAAGTTTATGCATACTTTCTAGGGGTCGATTAGGTTTTTAAATGGATAGCAAATGGATTTTAGCAACTAAATCATAGTGAATTATAGTTTTGAACCCGAAACCATTCAAGTTGAGTTCTTCTCGCGATAGTAGAACTGGTCAAACTGGGTAGAAATGAATCTGAAACTATTGAAACATATATATATATATATATATATAGTATGACTAGTTACACTAGTATGACCCAAATATATGTAGTATGACTAGTTACACTAGTATTACCCAGATTCATGTAGTATGACTAGTTAAACTAGTATTACCCAGATATATTTAGTATGACTAGTTACACTAGTATTACTACAAATGTAGTAGAACTAGTAAAACCAGTATTACTGACAGAGTTTTTGTACTGTTTTGGCAGGATACAATGAGGGAGAACGTGTTCATATATTTCAAATGCCAAGGTCGCATGTATAGCTTGATGATGAAGACATCATGGGAGAAGATAACTCTCTCCATGTTAGAAGCTTACTCAAAATCGAATGTTCGAAATGACTGGAGAAGATGCTACGTCCGTAGAGCCATTTGGGAGAAAATTTCGACTTTTTAATTTATTCCACATGGTCTTCTACTTCTTATCTAGCATTGTTATTGGGCACACACAGATTGGAGAAGATGCTACGTCCATGGAGTCATATTTTCTGAGAGCATTGTATGATATGAACTATTTTGGGTTGTAATGTTTCTAATCTGTGTTCATTGTTTACATCCCACATGAAATTGATAGTATCATGGTAGCTGGAGGTGAAGAAGAATATACCTTCTTTATTATATCTTTGTCTTATAGTTGTTGTTTAGATTTGTATAATTGGTACTACTAGGTAAAACTATGTTGGTTTTGTTTTTTTTTTATTTATACTACTGGTATTACTAGGTAAAACTATGTGCACCGTCAAATTTACACATGTGCGAGTCAAATTTACACATGTGCGCCGTCAAATTTGGGGGAAAACCTAAAAAAATGGGATCAAATTCTCAGGGGCTCTCCAGTCTAATCGGATCATCAATTATCCGAACTCACACTTTAGACAACTAATAGAACTTGGTATAACTATATTGTTTTTGTAACTTAGAAATTTGGCATAACTACGTCAGTTTGTTAAACTTAGTACAACTTGGTTAATATAGTTATTTGAAATTTTTGTATAACTAGGTACAACTTGGTACGTAGTTGTTCTACCCAGATTTTGTTCTCTCTCATCATTTTTCTCTTTCTATAGTAGAGAATAAAAAAATTGAAAATTTTCAAAATTTTAAAACCGTAAAAAAACGTGGGTCAAACTGCTCTCGGTCAAACTACGCCGTCATAAATTGCAAGTGGGCGCCGCAAAGCAAGTACATCGGCACTGCAAAAATGAACATAGTTATTCCTAGTTTTCAAGTTGTACTCGCATATACACAGTTGTACTTTTTGAGATGTTTTGAATAATTAGTTATACTTGGATTGAAACTAAATTTTTTTAGTTATACCCATGATTTTAGTTATTTGAGGTACATTTCTTATGTTTTCATGCAAAAATATCTGTCAAAACGTTATTTTTGTGTGTTTTGCAATGCAATGGGGATAACAATAACAAAGTCATCTTAAAAGTATAAGGTCTTTCTTATACAAAAATAAGTTTAACGGACTGATATGGAATGTTATGATTGGTCGGAACAGTCAATTTTCATTGTTCAAAATAATAGCTTCTTATTGGTCAAATTATTTTTTGTTATTTATTATTAAATTTGATTTTAGAAGGGTAAAATGGAGTTTTTGTATTTCATTAAGAGTAGGAGAGTATGTGAGATTTTTGGAGAGTAAATAGATTGATAAGTGAGGAGTAAGGAGCTCCTCAGATTTGGACCCAAAAAAATGGGAGAATTTCAATTTTAGGACACGTGGGCCCCATCTTATCCACGTGTGCGCCGATTTTTTCCACCAGTGCGCAGCTTTTTTTAAACATAGTTGTACCCTAGTTATTGGTTGTACAAATTTTCTACATAGTTGTATTTTTGGTGTTTTTCAGTTTAACCAGTATTACATATTCTTAAAAATTGCTTATCTAGTTGTACACTTGAATGAACTCTATAATTATAGAATTCTTAATGTTTTTTGTAATCATACGTTAAAAATATATAAAATTGTAAATTTTCCATCCTAAGTTGGTGCTTTTATAAAAAGTGAACTTAAAAGTATAAGGATTATGTTGTATGGAGTCTATTAAAACAATCCGATATGATATAATTTTTTTTCTCACTTAATTTATTTATATCATTTATAAGAGTTCATTATTACTTAATAGTCAGTGTAATATTTAATGTTGGAAAAAATAAATTTGAAATTCAAATTCTTTCATAAGTTATACCAGTTTTACTAGTATTACCAAATCTCGTTATTAGTACTACTTTTATACTAGTTTTACCCATTTGCCATAGAAAAAAAAACATAGTATTACATCATAAAAAACTAGTGTTACATAGTTGGCTAAGTCGAAATTGTTTTACAAATCATAAAGTGCAGATAAAATCAAATATTATGATTGCCAAATAACAACCACAAACAAAACAAAACATAATCTCTACTCTCCACAGTTGCTCGGACAATTCTGGTGGAGTGATGACCTCCACATACAAAACATATCTACGGACTACGGTTATTTTCACCTAAAACTAAATAGACACCAACATCCTCATCATCACAAATGTAAATCTCTTCCTCTGGTCCCAACACCACTGCATTGTACCTCATTTGCAATTTAACCTTACTTTTATCTAACACTAGCTTCGTGCATATCCTACCTTCTAACATGGAGAGAGTTATCTTCTCCCCTGATGTCTTCATCATCAAGCTATACATGCGACTTTCGCATTTAAAATATATGATCACGTTCTCCCTCATTGTATCCTGCCAAAACAATACAAAAACTCTGCGAGTTATACTAGTTGTACTACAATTCTGGGTAATACTAGTAAAACTAGTAATACTACATATATTTGGATAATACTAGTGTAACTAGTAATACAACATATATCTGGGTAATACTAGTATAACTAGTAATACTACATGTATATTGGTAATACTAGTGTAACTAGTCATACTACATACATCTGGGTAATACTAAGTGTAACTAGTAATACTACATATATATTTTTCAATAGATTCAGGTTCAGTTCTACCCAGTTCTACTAGTTGTACTTTCGCGTCAAGAACTCAAATCGAATGGTTTCGGGTTCTAAACTACAATTCACTATGATTCAGTTGCTGCAATCCATTTCTTACCCATTTACAGACCTATTCGACCCAGAAACTATGCATAAACTTCCAATGTGCATACCAAACAATTAGCTAAATCCAATTGGATTCAATCTCCTTAATTGTAAATGGTTTTGATTCAATTTCAAGCTCAAAGGAGCTCGAGAAACATACATGTCCTTTCTATCTCGACCTAGCTCGCCGGAGGAGAGGATACGGCAACAATGGCGACTGCAAATCGAATCTGTGGCAACAATGGCGGAAGAGGAGCACGACGAGAGCGAGAGCTCGTTTTTTTTTTTTTTTTTCAAATTTTCGTTTTTTTTTTTTAATTTTAGTAATTAATTAATTATTCTGAAAATGAAGAAAGGGTATAATGGGCAACACACATTTCATTAATAGAGAAGGGGATATGTAGACAAATAAAGGATATAAGAGGTTAGTTGCTTTCAAAAAGGGACTTGAGAGACATTTTCTCTAATTTTAAATCCTTGAATCTATAATTGATTTTTTTTTGGGCTTTGTCGACAAAGGTACCATTTTATATGCTCAGTTTGGCCCACTAAAACTCTTCGAATCATTTTTCTGTTGGAGTAAATTTTTTTTTCAGAAGTTGTTCTTCTCCAAGTACCAAACGCAAAATAATGACAAATTTATCTAAGCAATTTAAAATTCCATTCAATAAAATAACTTTCATTCACAAGTAAACATTCTACAAGTAAAAATAAAGAATGACAACTAATCTTTGCAAGAATGACAAACTAATCTTTGCAATGTGAACACAAAGGGACGTCACACACGAACTAGTCTTAGCAATATAACTACTACGTCAACCTCAAGAAACTAGACATCAATGGAAGCCGTCTGATCAGCTTCTAGGTCTTTAGATTTCTTGCAGCATAAGCCACTCCACCTCTTGTTAAATTGTAAGATCTCCATCACGATCGCAAACAATCCGATGACACCAATGATGGTACTGTAAGCAATCTTCCATGAGCTTCCGGGTTGCAAGATGGCTAAGCCTTTGTAGATGTTGTAGACGCTTAGTACAATCACAACATATCCCACTGTGTGATGGTACCAATTCCAATATTTTCTATACTTGTGGTTCTTGTCCGGTCTTGCTTTGAGGGCAAGTATCTGAAGAAAACCTAGAGCAAACAAAAAGATCCCTATCACAGTATGCAGTGTAGATCTCATTCCCGTGTGTTTAGCCATGTATATTGCAGTTCCTAGTCCTCCCAATAAACCGCCGAAGTAACCGGTGGTTTGGAAAAATATGTGTATGTAAAACCAAGTGGGATCCAGTCCTTTGTAGGTCCTCATGTACCTTGCAGCCATAACACCGATGGGCATGAAAATCCCCCAACACACCGCGTTCACTAGTCCATGAATGTTTTTGACTAGTAACATGTTATCGTTAGCTGCTTTAATGGTCGTGAATTGTCCGGACAACAAGTCCAAAGTAGCCATGGATTTGAGATGATCTCTATTCATAGCATGCATCCCAAGTCTATCACCTTCTTTCAGCGGACCGTCTTGCCATAAATGATTTACGACTGTTGTGTTAGTAGGCAAGACTATAGTGGCGAATATAGTCATCTCTCCATTGAGAAATTCAGCGGAAAGTTGTGTTACGTGAAAGCTGAGAGGTCCTTCTTGAAGCATAGTTGAATAGTCCTTAATTGAGGAAGTATAGGCACGCATAAAACCAGACGAAGAGTTACGGTAAGCCAAGAGAGTTTGAGCACCTAACATGCCTTTACTCGTCGGGTTTATGCCCCAAGCAATCCAACTAGAACTCTCGATGTTGGTGTGACGATACGCAACATCAAGTACTCCGCTTTCTCGAACATAACTGAAGTGTAGATAGGAGTCTAACACCGGAAGGTCAATGCAAGATCGGAAGTGTTTGCCGTTCCTAAATTGTTTAGAGTCACATCTAGCACGAACTCCATCGGTTGTTGCTCTAGTGAAGTATGGAGCGATTACGAACAGAAAACACAAAACCACTACAAAGGTTCGTGAAGACCACTAAACATGATGATGATTGCGTTTTTACTCGGAGACAAACGTAGGTTAAATTTTCCGGAGTAGTCTTTGCTTTGCTTTGGAAGAAAGAGATTTATGAATTTGCGAATTGTGTGAGTTGTGTATTTATAGCCATATACTAATAAACAATTCCAAGAGCAGTTGGGAATCGTATTTATCTTCTTTCTCAACAAATTTCATTGTTTTTTAATTTTATTTTACTCGTTTTGCCAACAAATTTCTTCGCAAGTTTGGAAAACGCGTTTTATTTTTGTGGTTCAATTTTTTTTCTAGTTATGCCACGCTTAAGATATTATAAGAGAATTTTTCGTGGAATAATGACACAAAAAATGAAATAATTTGAAGTTATATAGTCATGCACTCAAATCACTATCCTATCAATTAATACGTAAATTTATCATCAATTTGTCACGTTCTGATCGCGGAGACCATTCGCGAGCTCTCCTTCTCCGGCTACGACGAGTCTTTTATATATAATCGGTGGTGGACATCGACACATCCGACATGGCAGCAACAACTGTAATTAACTTATAATTAACGTAGGTTATGTTCTAAAAAATAGTATTCATGGGACTCAGGTCTGTTTTCCGGTTGTTTAAGAGGCGGATGTTATCCCTATATCGCGGCTGAAAATTTCAAGTCGTTATTTGTAACTTGGTCTAGTTCGTGTTTATAAATGGTCTCTAGTAAAGCATTGTATCATAGTTTTGTGGAATGCAATGACCATCTGTTAAATAGTGAAACAGAGAGACTACACTAAATCTTTTGACAAAAAAAAAAAAACAAAGCTAACATGTCCTGTCTCAGTTAGCTAAATGAATCAAGAGTTAAAACTTTAGATCATCCAAATATTAGCAATCTCAGTTACTTGAACACAAGTCGACATGACTTGGAACCTCTTGGCATAGAAGCTAAATCCTCCACAATCTGTTGCTTATTTTCCACGTCAGAGAAGATTTTCACCGTTTTCAAACATAGCGCATGACTCAGGAGATAACTCATAAGACCCTTATCTCTGTCTTTCCCTGTGTATCGTCTCCACTCTAAAGCTTCAAGGCTGGACAACAAACATTCAGGAACAAAACTCGGCATGTCCCAGCGATATACATAAAGAGTTAGTCTGTATACCTGCCGACACGAGTAAAAAGGGTAATAACAATGTAATTAAAGATCATTGTGCTTGAAAACTATACACTAGAAAGTCAAAATGTAAAGGAAAAAAGGTAGATATTGAATACATTCTCAAGCTTGAGAACCACCAATTTAGTGAAACGTTGGAGCAAATCTACAAGCGTTCTCTGAGATATTTCATCACATATGCTCTGCTCCAGATGTACAATTCGATCGAAGACACTTGTATACTAACAAAAATAAAAAGATAAAGCAATTTTTCGTTTATGTGATGGTTCCAACAAAGATATAATACAGAAAAAAAAAAAACGACATGGAATGAAAAAACTTACTTCTAGTTTTGATGGATCTCCGAGTCTAACCCTCACATAAAAGGGGATTAAAATAGACAACGACATGTCCTCTTGAATGGTGAAGTACTTGAAAGAAGGTGCGATAATCGCAAGCTTTCCAATGCAATTTTCAAGTAAACTACACAAGTGTGTGGAACTATTGAATTTTGTGATAATCGACAATCTTTGTAAGCTAGGCAAGACGATGTTCAAATCGAGCATAACATTGCTGGTTTTTTCTTCCAATGTTAGGTCGGAAAGAAGAGGACAGTTGGATAAAAGTCGACAGAAGAAATCATTGTTCAACTTCCAAATGTGAGTAACATGCAGAGTATTGAGGAACGGGAGACAGACCGCGGAAGAAGAAGATAAACTGATCACATCCATCAAACCTTCGAGTTTCAAGGCCACAAGCTTTTTGCACCAAGAAACATCGAACTCGAATAAACACACTCCTGATATCCATATGATCTTAAGGTCAGTAAGAAAATTGCAATTGGATAGAAGCAATTTAAGGGGTACAGACGAGAATATAATCGAATGGTCAGTGTGCAGAGTTTTTAAGGATGGGAGACAGACTGTTGTAAGGCCTTCCACTTTTATCGATTCACCTTGGAGTTTCAAGACAACAAGTGTCTTGCAAGTAAACAATTCATGAGGTATTGGGGTATATGCAGCACCAGCATCTATCTGGAGCTCACGAAGGTAGCAATGATGATAATGAAAGACTCTACTAATCCATGGTCCAATCTTCACCATTGAATTTAATCTGAAATAAAGGCTTTCTAGAACATGATGTGGATGTAAAAACAGTGACTTGTCAATAAATTGTTCAAAGCTAGTATGATCCTTGTGATCACAAACATCGTACACGAGTCTCGGCATCTTTGTCCAGAGAAATTTCCATTGTTTGGACAAAAGACTCGTCACCACAGCATGTTTCGTTGAAAGGAATGACAATATCTTCAAGAGCAAATCTTCAGGTAACTCGCTGATAGTTGAACAAATCTTCTTCGACATTGTCTCTGTTTAGGTCAAGCAAATAGACTATGTTAAAACCCTAATTACAGGATGGATTTCTCTTTCGTCTTGCTTATCAAGTTTAGTTTGTTTGTCAAATAACTAATAATTGATAAAAGATACATCATATAAAAATTCTTACGAGATTTCTCTAGATCTTGAAGATTTTCTGTGGATTCACACCTAAGCATAAAGTTCTTTGGGATGAGATTGAGATCTCATAACTTACTCTCCCAAATTATCAAATTAGATTTAATGTATAAATATATAAAATAAAAAAGACATAAAATACCAGAAAACCTATATTATTATGATAAGTTGAATATGATTAATAATGAAAATCATAAATAAATTACTAAACAATTATTCAAACACAAATAGTTATTCATATTGGGAGATTAATTTAAAGAATAATTAGTGTTTGAGAATTAACATTATAATATATAATAATATATTTTTTTGAAAATTAATTGTTTGAGATTACAGATTAATGTTATAATATTTAATTATAGGTTTTTTTTTTAGCTCCGAAATGAATCTCAAGAAAGGACATATTTGGCCAAAGTCTCATACAACACCTAACGAAATTTTCAATTTACTTTTATTCACATCCTTAAAATATTTGTTTGTATTTAAACTACGTTCAACGAAACCATATTTGAGTCTAGTAGCTAAAAGCCATCAGGATACGCCAATACGTCATTAGCTTAGTTATCACCGTGGTATATATTGGCACTGTCGGAATATTTATAAGAGTTTTTTTTTTTTTTTTTTTTTTTTGTCAACCATATATTTCATTAGAAAGATAGAGTTTACAATTATTAGTACAACCATTTCATATGACTAAGGAACCCAGGAGATAACACAAAGAGATTCATTAATTCTTGCTGTACGAGCTAATGAATCAGCTAAAAGATTGGCCGTTCTTCTGATGAACTTGAACTTATAAGAACCATGCGCCAACTTTTTAATGTCTTGTATGTAAGTTTGGATCTCTTTTGATCCTCCGGCGTGAGATTGTTTGTGTGCATCGCCCTCCAAATATCCATACAAAGATTGAGAATCCCCACAGAATATCACATTATGATAACTGAGCCGCTTTAAGTGAAGTAAAGCTTCCCTTAACGCAATGGCTTCTGCTTCTAATGCTGAGTGGGTAGGCTCAATTGAGCTACTCCCTTTGAGCAGATACCGGCCATTTGAATCATACAGAATCCACCCAATGCCAGCTTTACTCTCTTGATTTTCCCATGAAGCATCAGTATAACAAAAGAGAGAAGGAATATGAGTAAGTACTTCCTGAAATGTTGTCGGAGCTGGCTTCTTTTTTTGGGAAGGCTGCATCTTAGGAGAGAGAAGAGCTTTTTGCGACTCTGCCCATATACGGAGATCTGTAAGAGCTTGGTGAATTATGTGCGGGATTGCCCATCTTTTATTATTGAAAAGCAAATCATTCCTAGCTTTCCATATACGCCAACCAATAAAAGGGAAAATATGGTTGGCTGATCCTTGATGGCTTGAATTGGAGAGGAGGGCTTGGATATAATCCAACAGAGAATGATTATCAATAAACTGACCTGCATCAATATTAATAGGTGACAGCTCCCAAATTTCTCTTGCCACACGGCAGCAGAAGAAGATGTGAGCCACTGACTCCTTTGTTTCTCCACAGAAAAGACAGTCTTGGGAGATCCGCAGGTTCCTTTGGCCTAAAGCTTCTGCAACAAGAAGGGCATTATGAATAAAAAACACTACAAAAAAAAACAGTCAGTTTGGGAGAGAAAATATTCCTCGCAATTTTGCAATGGATGTGCGAGGTATTTGCGAGGAGACAATATAGTTTAATATGAATGACGTCAAATTGAGGTATATATATATATTTATAAAAATTGAGTATAGTTACTTATTTTTTATATTTAATTACGTTTAATTTGTTAGCTTTTCATGAATTTTAATAATGTAAACAACTAATAGCAATTTTATTATGATGTGGTATAGGCCTGTAGAAATTTATTTTTAATTTGTCATAAGATTTATTTATTAACATTGAAAATAAAAGGGTGAATTTGCTCTATAACCTGATAAACAAAATTAATTAATTTGAAAAATTAAGTAACTAACATGGGATTGTGAAATGACTAAAGTATATTTATTGAGGGTACGTGGCAAATGAGAGAAATAAAGAGTTTTCTTTATTTTGTTTTTCTTTATATTTTTAAATTAAATAATATTTACCCCTTTATACTTTTTTGCAACATATTTTTTATAAAAAAATGTTTCAAAAATTCAAATCTACTTGAAAAATTGTATTTTATTTTCTGCATCCAACGCAACTTGAATTTTTTTATCGGATATGAATTTTTTTAAATAATGAATAGTGTTTATCTTTTAAAACATAAATGAAATAGTATAGAACGAAATTTTTTAATAACTTGGTGTTGATGGTAATAACTTGGTGATGGTGATGGTGACAGTATGGTGGTGATGGCATAGTTGTGGTAGCGGTGGTGGTGATATAGTGGTGGTGACTTTCGTTGGAACTTTACTCAGCAAAGTTGAAATTCTGGAAAGAGATTCAAAATTTGATTCTCCTCAAAGAAACAGTAGCCAAAGCTAACTTTTTACAGTTACAAAGAAAAGGAAATATATATATCTACTATACATTTTTGCAGCAGTTTTTGGGGTACCCAAATCGGGTCAAATTTTGTTTAATTTTGACCCGGAAATCTTCAATCGGATCTTTCCTTATTTTTGACAAAATTAAAAAACGAAAATTAATCAATAAAATCTAAAAAATATATATTTTCTCAACTAATTACTATACCTAAACTCTTTATTTATGGCATATTCTCTACAATTTTTATAGATATAGAAATCAAATATGATTATTTAATGCTAATATAACAAATTTGAACTAATTTCCTAAAACCTCTCTACCTAATTAAAACATAAATATATTATTCTCATTTCACTTTTATATGATCTTATATTTATATTATTTTGAACTATTATAAAATATATATACTTAATAAAAAAATTCGATTTTTTCTGCATATGCTATGATTCAAATTTTTTAAAACGGACATATTACTCAATCGATGAAGAAAAAGGTATGTGTACAATCTATATTAACATTTTTGGAAAACAAATTTGCGCGTTTAATCAGGTCGTATTTTTTTTTTTTACTCTGACCCGGAATTGAGTCATTCAGATATTTTCTTAATTTCTACAATTATCTAAAACGGGACAATATACCACGGTGAAATCTTAAAATTAACAAATCGAAATACAATTATTTAGTATTTTAATATACATTTTTAAAATATTTTTACGGGTTGGACTAAAAACACACACTAATTTGAAAATATATATATATATATATTATAGAAACTATTTGAAAGCAAACTTTGAAATTGACTCGAATTATATGTCTTTTAAATAAAAGTGTTATTAAAAGAAATAACAAAATGATGTTTAATTTTACGGGACATGATTATATGGTGGGACGGGTCGGATTTGGATTGATATTAATACGGGATAATATATCACGGGTGAAATCCTGGGATTAACAAATCAAAATACAATTATACAATTTTAAACACTAAACAAAACAAATACAACTTAAAATTTTCATTTTTAGTTACAACGCATGTGACTCGCAATGTACAACAAAAAATATTATATACAACAAATTCATCAGTTTATAAAAAAAACAAAAAAATCAAATAATTAACCTGCGGTGTACCGCGGGTAACAATCTAGTAGGTTACATAAAAGAAAGAGGAGAGACACAAGGGCAAAAAGGTCCAAAATACAATAACTACACACAATATTATTGACTTTTTTTGTTGGTTATTTACTTAATTATACTCCCTCCGTTTTCGAATAGCTGTCGTTTTAGAAAAAAAAATTTGTTTTTAATTAATTGTCGTTTTCAGTTTTCGATGCAAAATTTATTACTTTTTTATTTTTTATATTTATTTTTATTATGCAACTTGTTATTTTTTATATTTATTTTTATTATGCAACTTGATTTACTATTGGTTAAATTATGTTTAGATAGATAATTAATGATATTTTTATATTGAAAAAACTAACAACATTAATAGTTTCTTAATTTGTGTGCATATAGTTAAAACGACAACTATTCGAAAACGGAGGGAGTAGATTTTTTGTATGTTATAGGTGCAAATTTTCCAAAATAAAATAAAAACAATTAAAAAGTTGGGCTTACAAGTTTTTTTGGGCTTTAACTCATAAGGGTTTTATGTTATATATTTTTTTTTGCCGGATATCCGTTATCCGATCATAATTTTAGGATTATTCAGTTTATCAAAAAAAAAAAAAAAATTATTTGTATCCGTGTCCGTATCCGGGATATCTGTCATTTTACTATCCGTATCCGTATCGGTTTGGCCGGAGATCCGTTTTTTCGGATCAAAAACTAGATACGGATACGGATATCCACGGATAACGGATATAAATCTCAGGCCTACTGTCGTATAATATGGCGCTTTAGAATTAATTTGCAAGTCGGAACACTAATTCATCGCAAGTAGGAATGTTGATTTACATAAGTAAACAAGCAATTAACGAAAACAAGAAGAAAACAGACAAACAGTCATATCGTCGATGCAGCCACCAAGCCATGGATTTATAGCCACTGACCTAATATCGCATGTCAAATCAAACGCTTCCCATGGCAGACTCTGGAGGAGTTGATATTGATCTCTCAACTTCATTCTTCTTCTTCGTCTTCTTCTCCGTCTTTTTCTCGTGTATATCAGTAGACGAAAACCGCCAATCTACTCTGTATTGAGCATCGTCGTCATCCTTCGACTTAAGTAACCCCTTCACCACGTTACTTGGTTCGTTGTCATTCTTCGGCTCAAGGTATGACGAAACCTCCTCCCCGTCGTCGTGATCGATGATCAGGATTGCATCAGTAGAAGGTAGTGAGCCCAAGGACTTGAATGTCTTCTTATAGTGACTTGAACGTTGCTCGGAGATCAAGGCGAGTCCGATCTGCGACTCATGAGTCGTCATGTTCCTCTGCGTACCAGTTGTGGAACCAAAGATGAACGACGAAGATAGTCGGAGAGAAACGAAAACGTTTTTGAAGAGAGACGAGAGACTATGAAGCTAAGCTCTTATTAATTTGGCTTGGGTTGTGTATATATGG